GTTTATTTCGAGAGCGTTTGCAAAGTACCGAAAATAACTCCATTTTGGACCCTCATACAAAGGCCGCTCGTTATGAGCAGGACTTTAAGAGATATAATAAGCTTGTAAGGGATAAAGAAGAGAAACCTATAAATGTTAAACTTAAAAATTTTGAAGAAATTGTAGAAACATTAAATAAAAATGTAGATAAAAATAATGATACTAATAATATTGAAACTAATAAACCTATACAAAAAATTGTTCGCAAAAGAAGGAAAAAGATATCGGGTTTTAAAATTAACAAAAAACTTCTACCGGGTAAATTGAAAGTTCCCCCTAGGGGGATAGCAGACAAAAATATAGAAGTTGAAAGTGATTATTTTTCACAAGAAAGTGATCCAACCACAAGTGAACAAGCTCTTAAATATGTCAAAGAAAATTCTAGATCCTTAGGTATAACAGATGACTTGAAAATAGCCAAAATAATAGGGGGTCAAGAGCCATTATATAATAGTAACGTTGAAAAAATTATAAAATATATACTTTCGAATAAATCTGTTCGTAAGAAACCAATACCTATTGGCTACAACGAATTTATTCGAAGAATCGATAATCATACATACCTAAAAGATTTGCTTCTACCTCCCTCCTCCTCGTCAAAACAAACAGGTAACGGTACATTCTCGTTTAAGCCATCCCTATGGAAAAATCAGAAGAGAAACGAATAAAAATATTAGATCGTTTATATAAGGATGTTAACTCTCCAACTTGTTTTACTTCAATTGAACCTCTCTTGCGGGAGGCTAGAAAATTTAATAAGAATATAACTCGGGACCAAGTTAAAGAATACCTATCAACTCAAAATACTTATACTCTACATAGAAGAGTAGTTAGAAAATACAGTCGAATGCATACATTGGCGGCAGGTTTACATACAGAATGGCAAGCTGATCTAAGTATTTTTGATAGGTTAAGCGTTCAAAATAGAGGTTTTAAATATCTATTAGTTTGTATTGACACACTTAGCCGTCAAATATTTGTTGAACCAGTTAAGAGTAAACAAAGTATGAATATGATTGATGCTTTTAAAAAATTGTTTTCAAGAATAAAAATTGTTCCTTGGAAATTACTAACAGATCAAGGAATTGAGTTTACAGCGAAAGATGTCCAAAAATATTTTAAGTCATTGGAAATGGAGCATTTTTCTATGCTTACGTCTCCGCAATGGCACGCAGGAATGGCAGAAAGGGCTAATCGAAGTATAAAAGAACGACTATATCGCTACTTTACTGAAAAACGAACATTAAAATGGATAGACGTTATTCAAGATATAGTCTCTTCCATAAACCACTCTTATAATTCAAGTATTGGTATGCGTCCTGTGGACGTCTCTTATAGAAATGCTGAAGAATTAAGAAAGAGATTAAAAGTAAAGGCCATTGAGGAATTTGCTCCAAAGCGTTGGAAGACCAAAAAGTTTTCAGTAGGGGATAAAGTTAGAATAGAGAAGTACAAGCATGTATTTCAGAAGGGATATTTGCCAAATTTCACTAATGAGATTTTTATCATCAATAAAATAAGAGAAGTACCGCACCAGCCACCTACATATAGAATTTGTGATCAAGAGGGAGAAATAATAAGGGGGTGGTTCTATTCAGATGATTTGTGTTTGGTAAAGGAACTCAAGAATAATGAAAAATTTTATGATATAGAAAAGGTTTTAAAGAAACGGAGAATCGATAACGAAGATCAGTGTTTAGTAAAATGGAAGGGTTACGCTCCCAAACATAATAGTTGGGTTCCTGCAAGTTCAATTATTTGGAAATAATATAAATAGATGGGCAATGGGAAATACTATTAAATTAAAATGACTTCATTTTATATTGTTTTACCTTCTAATACTAATGTTGACGGGAATAAAACAAATTCGTTCAGAGTTCGATTACCCCATAAATTGCAATTTAATTCAGAATGGTCAGTTGGATTAGCTGTAATGGTTTACCCCCATACATGGCCATCTCTTGGTACTACTTCCGAACAATTTTTTATTGTAACATGGCAGACCGGGGAAATTGTTAGTTTAAAAGTACCTTCCTCTAGTTTTGTTAATCCTCAACAATTAAAAGAAAGTTTGGATAAATCTCTTAATGAAGGTTGTGAAGATTTATCAGAAAAAATGAGGATATTTCATTTAGAATATTTGGGTAAGTTAAAAGAACTTAGAGCCCAAGCAAAGCAAGAATATATCAATTTAAAAGGTGAAAAAAACAAAAAGCTAGCAGATAATACAACCAAAAATGAACACGAACCAGAAGAGAATATTAATATAATGACTGAACCAGAAATATACTCTAATTTACTTTTGGAATACCATAATAGTTTGGATGAAAATAAAAGAAAAATTATTTCATTAACAAGTGATACTGGATTCGAAAAATGGATAAGTGTCTATCGTAAGCCAGGATCTGTGTGTAACTTTGAGTTTTATGCTAAGAAAAATCGTTTCGCACTGACTCTAGATAAAACATATATAAAAAATATTAAAATTACAGATCAACTTGCCTATATTTTAGGGTTCGAATCTTATGATATATCCGAATCCACGGTAGCAAGATTTATACCTGATATGAGAGGGGGAGTGTCATCTTTTCACGTATATGCCCCTGGACTAATCGAACCCATGGTGATTGGAGATGTAAGTGCTCCTGTTTTACGCATTGTAAATATTAGGGGTCAACAAGATGAAATTGTTGAAGAACAATTTCTTTTTATACAGTATCATAAATTGCTAATTAAGGAAATTTATGAAATTTTTATTGAAATAAGAACATCAAGTGGAGCCCTAATGCCATTTCAATATGGAACTTGTACATTAACCCTCCATTTTAAAAAGTCACCCTATTTTTAATGTGTTATGAACACTTTACAAATAAATAAAATATTAAATAGAAATAACATCACAAAATATTATTATATCGGTTGTTTCCCTTCGGATTCCATTCCTAACCCCATTAATTTTAAAATCTTTTGTATGGTTGTAAATACTGATACAAGTAGGGAAGCTGGTAGTCACTGGATAGCAATATTTTGTCAATATCCAAGTGTAGATTATTATGATTCGTTGGGGATATGGCCCCCAATAAGCTTACATATACGAAACTATTTGAGTTTATTTCAAAGCGTTCGCTTTAATAGAATTCAAATTCAAAATTCCTTTCAGTACACATGCGGTCAACACGTAATATTTTTCTTGTTTCTGCGATGTAAAGGATTGCCCATGGATAAGATAATTAAATATTTAAAAGGAGTTGACGCAGACAAATTGGTTTCGGAATTTGTCTCCGCTAAGATATTTAGTATAAATAGTTGAGAATTTATTACATTGATATTAAAAATAATGCATATCGAATTTGATCCCTCGCATGTTGATTGGTCAACATTGACCGATTTATCATTAGACAATTCAGTTCATCAATGGGGTGGTTATAATGTTTTTCGAGGTGTCCCATACCAACGAGGCAGTGGTCTAGGATCTGTATTTAGAAGTTTTTTGCGATACCTGATTCCTTATGGAAAACAAATTGGTAGTGCCATTGGTAGGCAGGGCTTGGAATCTGGTAATCGTGTTCTAACAAATGTTTTAGAAGGTAAAGATTTAAAGGAATCACTTATAGATGAGGGTAAATCTGGTCTAAAGAATTTGCTTCAGAAAGCAGCAGACAATGTTGACAAACAAAAGGGGAAGGGTTTTGATTTTAAGCGGTATAAAAATGTTGAGAAACGCCCTGCAATAGGTCAGATGAATAATGATAGTCATGATTTAGAGGTAAAAACTATAAATAAACGACCATATTCAAAAATCGGTCCCCCTAATTTTATTCCAAAGACTTCACGAAAATCGCGCAAAAAATCTACCAAAAAACGATTTCGTGTAGACGCACTTGGTACATATTAAAATGAGCTGCTGCAAGAAGATAAACGAAAACAGCCCCTTAGCTCTTAATAGTGCCTTAAGTATATTCACTGTTCCACCTACTAACGTTTCAGTTGTTCGTTCCTTTTTCCGTGAAATACTTCCCTTAAGTACAATTACCCAAGATTCTCCTTATTTATTTCGTTTGTTTAGCGATAATCTCTGGACTGATTTATCGCGTACTTATCTCTATCTTGAGCTTTCCATTGAAAAATTTGGCGGAGACAATAAATGGAGTGCAATTACCGCTACTGATACAAGCATTGCCCCAATTCAGGGAATTGGCCAAACATTTATTCAACAATTAAAAGTCACAGTGGGAAATAATGAAGTGTACGATAGTGGGACTCTCTATCCTTACAAGGCGTATATAACAAATGAACTTTCATTTCCTAATAATGTTAAATCTAACTTTCTTGCATCCATCGGATATTACAAAACCGATAAACATGATGATAGCATTGACTTTGGTTTCCTAAAGCGAAGTTCTCTCTTTTCAAATGGCAAGAAATGCCAATTTCTTTCTCGCCTAGATTTTGATTTGGGAAATCAAGAATTATTTTTATTAAATAATTTAGATGTTAATTTTAGCGTTTATCGATCTAAAAATTCATTTGCCTTACAAAAGCTAAACTCTACTGATGAGAATCAGTATAGACTCTACGTTCATGACGTTAAGCTTTTTGCAAAAATGATTGAAGTTCAACCATCCCTTAACATGAATATTTACAAGACTCTAGAGTCCAAACCAGCCACTTATGCAATTCGTAAAACTGAAATTAAGTCAACTTTTCTTACTGCGGGACGAACTGAAATCGAATACAATGCATTTAGTGCAAGTATCCCGCGGCGAATCACAGTTGCCCTAGTAGGTAACAAGGCCTTCAATGGAGATTTTAGTCTATCTCCTTTTAATTTTCTACCCTATGACTTGAGAGATATTTCAGTTCATACTGGTGGGCATATTTACCCCATGGTCGCCTATAAATTAAAATTTAAAGAAGATCTCTTTGTTCGCGCCTATGTTGACATGTATGAAGCATTGGGTATGGCTAATTCAGATCGATCCTTCGATATTTCTATGGAAAAATTTAAAAGCGGATGGACCTTCTTTGTAATCCCCTTAACTTCCACATTAGATGATTCATGCGGTTTCGAGCTTTTGCGAAGTGGTACGACTAGTATTCGCTTAGAATTCAATACTCCAATTCCCACGGGAGGTGTTGAGATGATTGTTTTAGGAGAATTTGATCAGATGCTCATGATTGATTATAATCGCCATATTGTATCTGACTCGAATTTGGGTTAATACATAAGAAGCCTTTATTATTTTCAATAACAAAAATGCAGAATATTTCTGACACTGGTAATTTCTCCAATCAATCATTTGATTTTTTGACTATAGAAAAAGATTATATAGATGCCCCGATGCCTTATGAATTATTGATTTTAGTAATACAATACACCCTATTATTACCTATTATTTTTCTCTGTTGGATTTTTATGCTTAAGTTTTTAAGGACCCATGGATTTATTACTCAGACTCAAGCAGACAATATGATAGATACTCTAAGAAACTTCCCCTTAGATGAATGATTAGGTTTAAGATACATTAATAGTAAAAGTAATTTAGCTTCTTGGTAGCTTAGTCGGTAGAGCATCCGCCAATAACGTGAAGGTCGCCAGTTCGATCACTGCCCAGCGGCTTTTATTTTAAAAGTATTTTTAAAAGTTGGCAACTTGGCAGTTGACATTTTGTCCCAGGACGTTCTAAAAAAAATGGCATTCTGTCCCTTGACATTTTGTCATGGGGCATTTTGTCCCTTGACATTTTGATAAGTGGCATTTTGTCGCGGGACAAAATGGCAATAACTGGCCAGCCCCCTCCGGCCAGCCAGGGAAAAATTTCTCTAACACCCCTCACCCGATATTTGTCTCTCCAATAATTGTGTAGTCTATCATCAATCAATAGTTTATTAGTGGACATATAGTAGTAACCATTACTTGTTTACTTCAACACTCCCCATAAAAGAGGTAGTGTTGAAGTAGACTACTGGGATAAAAATATTAAATAATTTTTATTTTCACAAATAAAAAATCAAAAATCTATTAAAACATTAATATTTACATACATACCGTATTTCCTATATTAGAGCCCCACCCTCTGTTAGAGCCCCACCCTCTAATACAGCCCCACTTTGGAGGATAGTTGAAAAATAGAGCCCCACCCTCAATTAGAGCCCCACCCCAAATACAGCCCCACTTAAAAATATTGGAGGAAAAAAATATCCCAATAACTTTTTAGATGTATTTCGAGAGTGTAAAGGGGGATATTGATAATATTGTGATCATGGAGGAGGAGGATCATGGGGAGGATATAGGGATGAAAAGGAGGAGATAACCCCGATATCCTTCCAAATACTCTTATATCACCTATATTCCTCCAAATCCCTCCTATTACCTCCAAAATCTAATCATTGTATGAAGGGTTGCAATCGTGTTAGGAATTTGACGCTAATTCGCGAGATTATTAGAGATCTATTAGAGATCTTAGAGATTATTAGAGATCTCCTGTTCCAAAGCCTCATCAAACAAAAGCGCTTCATATGCCTCCTAATACCCCCAATCCAGAATATCCCTCTTAATCCCGCCAAATCTCTCAATATAAACTTAATCCTATTATATTCCCCATAATCCCTTAAAATCAACTTTTATACCTCTGATCCATCAATTCAAATACTAGTCCCCTAATATTTCCTTTAATCCGTCCAAATCTACCAAAATTTCATACTTAGTAATCTTATTCTCATTGAACTATTGCGACTATTTCGTTATTCATTGCTTATAAAGTTTTAATTTTTGTGAAAAATCGAAAATTTCGATTCTCTTTCGATATTTTTCGGTTTTATAGACCACTCCTCCAGCCTATCTCTAGTTGCAATGGATATTTAATAAATGGGATTTTATCTCAAAAGGGTGTTGAAAAATAGAGCCCCACCCTCAATTAGAGCCCCACCCTTTAATACAGCCCCACCTTGGAGGATAGTTGAAAAATAGAGCCCCATGGGGCTCTAATATAGGAAATACGGTACCTACGTATTATAAAAGGAAACAATCAGAACAAATCTCTCTCTAAAAATCTAATTAATTAATTGTTTAAGTTAAACAAACATTTTTTTATTCCTTTATTTGACAGAAACAAATTTAAAAAAAATATTATGGATATAAAAACATTTGTCTTTAAAACAATAAATTTGTTTACCGACACTATTGGACTTTTACTTTTTGGAAATGTTGTTTATTTAACTATAAAATATAAGTAAATTTTTCTGTTTTAATAAATTAAATTTTTAATAAAATTAAAAATAAGGGTTGTTTTAAGCTTTTCTCTAAAAATGCCAAAAAATTGACAAGAATAACAAAAATATCAAATATAGATTAAATACCCATTAATTTCCTAAAAATATAGATTTCCATTGATAACGTTTCAACCTTTCAGAGATCTCCATACACTTTGCCACATTCTACTTGGACTTTATTCTTTATCTCAAGCCTGCTCTAAAGTCGTTCTGTTACCGTCTTACATACTTTATGTTCTGCAGAGCACAATTCCTACTTATGTTTGTGCTTTAATTGCTCTAATACCTCTAGCATTAATGACGGGCACTTTTACATTTATGGTATCAATTGGAATTGATAGAATGCTTGGAATTTGTTTCCCTTTTTGGTTAGTTTTAAGTTGAGATCAAAACCAAGAATTCATCTCAAGATAACCCTAAAACATACAAAAAAGTTTTGAGTGATGATAGTACATATAAAAACTATGTTGCTAAATCAAAACTTATGGTTACTAAGGATCGTCATCTAACTTATATTTTTAAAAACATAATTTTAATTTTATTTAAAAGGTATATGCAAAATAAGAGCAAACTTTATCGGATTTTATTAATAGGAACGCCATTTTTGTATCCTTTATATTATTTATATTTAATTATTCAAGATTTGTCAAATAATAGGTTTAAATAATTTTAAATATTTTTAAAAGATTTTATTTTAAGTCCTTCAAATTGTTCATTTAATTACAACTATGTATTTACTACATTATTTTCAATTATTTGTGTTATTTTTACATTATTTTGCTATTTTATTATTTTATTAAAAGCGATATTTGGAAAGGATCCGATAGGCAATTAATTTATTTTAGGGTTTTAAGAAAATATGTTTAATCGCTTACAGTACTTTCGGTTCGGTTTGGTTAACCGAAAAATTCGCTAAACCAGACAACTCTACTTACAAATAAATACTAGGAGATCAAAAGCATTCATTAGTTGACATTTTATCCAGAATTAGTCTTTTTGACATTTTCACAAGGCATTCTGTATGCCATTTCTGACTTCCGACATTTGAATCGTTTCCGCCTAGCTCATAGCAGAACTTATTTTTGAACACATTATTAGGAAACGGAGTCGGTGCGCAACTCTACTTCGTACATAAAGCTGCCTTATCGAGATTTAACCTATATACTGTAGGGATGATTCACTTAGCAGCATTTAAAACGCTTAGGCGGGAGATTAAACAATCTAAAAAGGAAAAAGAGGAAGCATTAGTCGATGCTTCGGTAGTTAAATGTTAGAGCTCCTGTATATAGTGAGCGAAAGTGCCTAGCCACAACTAGCAGGTGGTCGCAGGTTCGCAGGTTCCTGCCCGGTGGCTAAACTTTTGCAAACTCTTTTTATACTTTTATTTAGAGTAGCAACAAGTCGAGGCCGAGGTCGAGGCCTCGCTGAGGTCCTAGGCGATTTTTCAACCTCGACCTTGATTTTGCTGACCTCGGGCCTCGGAACCTCGTCTCGGTCCTCGCCAGAACCTCGCCGAGGACCGAGGGTAAATATACACCCCTAAGAATTGACTTTTTTGTAAAAAATGGAAGAAATCTGGCTCCTTGACCTCCCAAAAATCGAAAAATTTTCGCTTACGGCGCTGAAAAAAAAAGAAATCTTGCTCAGTGGCCTTCCAAAATCCCCCTGCTGTTATCCTCCTAACCCCCTGCTATCCTCCTTAATCCCGCAAATCTTCTTAAATCCTTAAATCCAACTAATTAATATCATTCATGATTCCTCTAATTCCATCAATTGTCCGATATCCGTCTAAATCAGGGCTGGACACAATTGCGGATTGCGTAAAATAGCGTGTTTTTTTGAGTTGCGGATTGCGTCTGCGGATTTTAAAATTAAAATAGCGAGTTGCGGATTTGCGGAATTTTCGGTTCGATTTATCAGTTCAAATCCCTTTATCCGTTATTAATACACTGATATTTATAAGAACCCCCTTTATCAATTAAACCCATTTTATCACTCGTTATCAATCACTCAAATCCGCGTTTGCCCCACCACCTTATCTCAATATATCTCCTTAGTCCTTCAAAATTTCGGTTCAGTTTCGGTTAATCGAAAATTTCGGCTCGGATTGCCAGTTCAGTTTTATGTTAATCAAATTTCAAATACAATGTTTGAAAAAAGCTGATCAAAGCTTCGAAATTATTTGATCAAGGATATTAGTTTGTAATCATTTAGTGATTATTTGATAAATTTTTATCAAATTTAAGTAGATCTTGAAAAGTTATACAAATTTTTAAAAACCTCGGTAATCCTCGGTCCTCGACTTCGGTCTCGGGTCAAAATTTGCCCCTCGACCTCGATCTCGGCTTTTCCAGCCTTCGGTGATCCTCGGCCTTGGCTTTTTCGAAAAACCTTGACCTCGTGCTACTCTACTTTTATTTGAAGGTCAATTTCTGCGTGAAGCAATTCTTAAATCTGCAGCTACATTAATTTTTATTCAAAATTTTGGTCGGATTTGTACTCTTGGTTTTCTCTTTTATATTACAAATTATGTTAAAAACAATGATCAAATATTACTCTACCTTAACTTAGCAACTATTTTTTCTTCTTTAATTACTATTATTGAAGTTATTTCTCTTTTTATTACCAGGTATGTTTTGAAAAAAATAAATTTGATTTTCATATAGCTAAAGATAAAACTTAAAAAATAAAACTCTAAAAAATATAACTTTATTAATTATCTATCCTAGCGAGAAAATAAAATAATGATTACCAGAGAGAGTTTTTTAGGTCCAAAAAACCCGAGAATAGGCACCTAAATAGGTTTGAAAAAAGGCTAAAATAGGTTCAAAAAATTTCGAAAAGTGGCAAAATAGGTACGAATTTTTAATGAATATTTAGGTTTGAATTTTCAGAGTTATTTCAATTTTTCGTTTTCAATTTATGGTTTTTCAATATTTACGGGCCTATAACTCGGCCCTATCAAGTCAAAATGCGCGGATTTTAATGTCATTCGACTCAGCTCGAGGAGCTTTTTCGAATGAGCTACCATTCAAAAAATCGAATTTTTCACCTCAAAAATGTCTATTGCCCCAATTGTCTATATGTAAGTCCACCCATGAAGATCTACACAATTACTGACAATAAACCTACACCTTTTGAAATTAAATTCAAGGAATTCATAGGGATTAAGGGGTTAAGTACCCAACTATATGGAGCGAAATATCTAGTGTGTACCCTACTATGGATGAGTTGATGTTAATCCCCCGTATTTCTTCATCCACTTCAATAACACAAAATCCATCAATATTTCCTTAATTCTTTTCCCTAAATATTCCCTTTTAATATGCTCTCCCAAAAGTTGTAGGCCTTCTAGTTCAAAATGTCTTGAATTAAAGAAAAAAATAAAATTTTTTGGCAAAATTTAAGGATTCTGTCATTTTTATCAAATATGAGTTTTTTACTATATTGGACAGGAATTGGGTGTTTTTAGCCGTTTTGGCAAGAAAAGGACCACAAAATTATTGTAAATATGACTTTAACACTCTAACATTCACTATTTTTTAAAATTTCATGCCTATTTTACAAAAATAACGTGCCCGCTCAACTCATCTAATCCTTAACTCATCCACACACCCAAAAACGCTCAACTCATCTAAACGGCTAAAATTCCTTAACTCATCCACACGGCCAAAAACGCTCAACTCATCCAATCCTCAACTCATCTAATGCTTAACTCATCCACACGGCCAAAAACGCTCAACTCATCCAATCCTCAACTCATCTAATGCTTAACTCATCTACACGGCCAAAAACGCTCAACTCATCCAATCCTTTGGAACGAGACTATTGAGTACCAGTCGTTTGAGTCCCTGGCCGTTTGAGTCTCTGGCCGTTTGAGTCTCTCGCCGTCTGAGTCTCTCGCCGTCTGAGTCTCTGGCCGTTTGAGTCTCCGGCCGTTTGAGTCTCTGGTAAGTAGGGTCCATGACCAGTTGAGTCCATGACCAGTTGAGTCCATGACCAGTTGAGTCCATGACCAGTTGAGTCCATGACCAGTTGAGTCCATGACCAGTTGAGTCCATGACCAGTTGAGTCTCTAGCCGGTTAAGTCCCTGGTCAGTTGAGTCCCGGCCGTTTGAGTGGTTGATTACCGCCGGTTGAGTCTTGGGCCGGTTGAGACTCAACTGACCAGGGACTCAACCGGCTAGGGACTCAACCGGCCGATATTTCAAGGATTGGATGAGTTGAGCGTTTTTGGGCGTGTGGATGAGTTAAGCATTAGATGAGTTGAGGATTGGATGAGTTGAGCATTTTTTGCCGTGTAGATGAGTTAAGCATTAGATGAGTTGAGGATTGGATGAGTTGAGCGTTTTTGGCCGTGTGGATGAGTTAAGTGTTAGATGAGTTAAGGATTGGATGAGTTGTAGGGTAGCCAAAAATAAAGGCAATTATTCGAAAAACCTAAAATAGGTTCAAAAAAGTCCGAAATAGGTCACAAATAGGTTTTAGGGCCAAAAAGGCCGAAATTGGTTTTTTAGTCCGAATTGGTCCAATATAGACTCATTATTTCGACCCAAAACAGTATTTTTTGTGCTTATCTCATCATAACAAGGTCGCCAAAAAAATAGGTAAAAACCTAAAAAAACTCTCTCTGATGATTACCCTTATTTGAAATAACACTCCTTAATATACATATCTCTTTAGACTTGTACCCAAATACAAAACTATTGTACTATAACTCTTTAATTTACAATAATTCTTAATTTTAATTTTTTAACTAACTTGAAAACATTCTAACTTTAATTTTTCTAAAATTAAAGCAGTTCTCATCTTAATGCTTTGAAAATGGAATATGATTGGATTTTGAAACTTTTTTATAAAACACAAATTAACAACCCAGTTGTCATTACAAATATTAAAATTAACAAAATATGTCCAAATATTAATATGAATAAAAATTGAAATTAAATCTTTAAATGTACTTTAATATATTTGGAAAAAATTTTTATTATTATTTGTCTGATTTAAATTTAATAAAAAATTATTTTTTTCTCTTTCATAAAATATTTATCCTCTCTTTTCTGGCACTAGTGTTTTATATAATTTTTCATTTTCACCGAGAACAAGTTTATCACACAATTCTTTTCCCTAAATTTTTAAATTAAAAATAAAATTTATTTTTATTCATTTACTTGAATAAAACAATGATCTTGATTGGATACTTCATATTTCCACCCGCCAAAACGCCTTCGACTATAAATTTGGTATTCTTCGAGAATTGAATGGCAACGGGAAAGTTCTGAATCTCTCTTAAATTGTTTTTTTTTTGATAAACTTTTATTTTTTGAAATACTTGAATTGTTGGAATAGGATAACCATAAGGTAAAGTAATTGAGAAAATCGAAACAATTTTTTCTCTTTTAATTATAGTTTTTCTTATAAGTCCTTCTACAGCTTGATCACGAATTTCCTCTTCTGTTGCCTTTAAAAATTAAAAAAAAATTAAAATTATGTACATATGTATAGAAAATAAAAATTTCATTTAATAATATAGGTACATATATGAATATTTTACATTAATAATTTTAGAGCTTTAACCCGAACCTTCGGAGGGAGCTGGGGGAGGCTATGTCTGAGTACGAAGTTATCAATTTTTCGAGGTTGGGGCGGAATTTTTAACCTTTTACTTTAATAAAATTAAACATATTAGAAATGAAAGCGTTTTTAAGTTTATGAGAAAATTATTATTATTGTAATTTATGGGAAAATTTCATAGCAAATAATTTACTCAACATTTATCCGTGGTAGACCAAACAAATTCAATTTTTCACTTGTGACATGTGTAACCAATACTTGTTTACTATTGTCTACTTCAACACTCCCCATAAAGCTGCCCAACATATGTACTAAACTCGTTTCCATTGAAACTTCTCTGCCCTTGCAAGGCAATCCAGTGAGAAAAATTTTTACATTTTAATTTTTTTACAATTTTTTTTAAATTTTCTTTTTTATTTATCAAGTAAACTGTCTCTTGGTTTTATGCGATATTTATGCTTTCTACTATTTATGTTTTGGGTTTTACTAGGGATCGGTTAAAATTAAAATATGATTAAAATTTTGTTTAATTTTGAGGCAAAATTCAGTCAAAATTTTAATTTGAAATTATTTGATTGGATTTTAGTAAAGTACTCCTATTGGGATATGTTAGAGTAAAATGGCAGATTATTAAATATTTTTATTTTTCATAAATAAAAATAAAAGAAATAAAAATCTATTAAAAATTAATATTATATGAAATATTTAATTGTTTAAGTTAAAAAACATTTTTTATTCATTTATTTGACAGAAACAAATTTAAAAAAATATTATGGATATAAAAACATTTGTTTTTAAAACAATAAATTTATTTACTGACACTATTGGACTTTTAATTTTTGGAAATGTTGTTTATTTAACTATAAAATATAAGTAAATTTTTTTTATTTTAATAAATTAAATTTTTAATAAAATAAAAATTAAAAATAAAATTTGGAGTTGCTTTGAGCTATTATTATTCATAAAAATGCCAAAAAATTGACAAGAATAACAAAAATATCAAATATACCGTATTTACTCGATTAATTCCCCACCCTCGAATAATTCCCCACCCTCTATTAATTCCCCATGCCAGGGATGAGTTGAAAAAATAATTCCCCTCCCTCGAATACCCTATTACACGTTCAAATTTCAAAACTCAAATAATTCCCCTCCCTTGAATAATTCCCCATGCCACGGGTGGGTTGAAAAAATAATTCCCCAGGGGAATTAATCGAGTAAATACGGTATGTAGATTAAATATAAAATTATTGCAAAATTTTGAAAATATCGAAATGAAAATACATTCTAGAAGTTTAAAATGATTTAAATATTTCCTGATTTACAATGTTTAAGAAATATACGGATTTCCTTATTTTTTAGTAGAGTTCAGCGGGATCGGGATCCCGGTCGGGATCGGGCGGGATTATCCCGGGTTTTTCGAATCCCGATCCCGATTTTTCTGATCCCGGTCCCGAAATAAATATCCCGATCCCGATCCCGGCCAATCTCAATCCCGAGCCGGGATCCGGGATCGGGATGTGCATCAGATCCCGATACAAATCCCGACTTTATAAATTTACTAGAAGCCTGTGAAATTAAGTTAACAAAAGAGGGGAGGCATGAAAGTAAAAAAAATTTTTGCCTGCGGCGCAGAAATTGGAAGAAATTTGGCATCTTGAAGTCCAAAATTCTCAAAATTTTCGCCTGCGGCGCCACAAAAATGAACAAAGCTGTTTTTACAACTTTAACGAAATATTGAGTGATTTGGTGTGATATCGATGAATCAAGAGGGATTGAGAGGAGTACCGGTGGATTTGGAGTATAGAAGGATATCGGCGGATTTACATGGATTAACTTATTTCTGAAGAGAAATCGGGGGTTAAGAGATTTTACTACATGAATTTTACTACTTAATCCCTCAATCTCAGTTCTTAATCGTCCACATTTGCACGTAACGCACTTAATCGTATAGACTTGAACGTTTAGACTTGAATGCTCTTGGCATTCAAATTTTATAAGTTTGGCCTTCCAAAATTAAAAAATATTGCCTGCGGCGCTTAAAGGGGAGGAAATCTGGCACCGTGGGGGGAAATCTGGACCCGCCATTACTTTATGTCACCTAAATCCCCTGAACCTGAAATTAAATTATGCGTTTATGAGATTTAAACTCAATATTTCAGCACTGCAGTGGCAATTTTAGAATTATCTGAGTTGTATGTAAAAAAAATGAAAATTTAAAAATTTTGAAAAAATTTTTAAGTAAATACCGATCCCGATTTTTCAATCCCGGTCCCGATTCGGGATCGGGACCGGGATCGGGATCTTCGGCCCAAATCCCGATCCTGATTTCGGCCGATCCCGATCCCGTGTCGGGATCCGGGATCGGGATCACCATTCCTAAATCCCTGAACTCTATTTTTTAGATGACTTAATAACAATTTAACCTTTCAGAGATCTCCATACACTTTGCCACATTCTACTTGGACTTTATTCTTTATCTCAAGCCTGCTCTAAAGTCGTTCTGTTACCGTCCTACATACTTTATGTTCTGCAAAGCACAATTCCTACTTATATTTGTGTTTTAATTGCTCTAATACCTAAAGCATTAATGATGGGCACTTTTACATTTATGGTATCAATTGGGATTGATAGAATGCTTGGAATTTGTTTCCCTTTTTGGTTAGTTCTAAGTCGAGATCAAAACTAAAAATATATCTCAAGACAACTCAAAACATACAAAAATTTTCGGGCAAAGAGTAGTACATATAAGAACTATGTTGCGGACTAAATCGAAACTCGTGGTCACTAAAGATCGTCATCTTACTTATACCGTATTTTCTCGATTAATTTCCCTGGGGAATTATTTTTTCAACCCTTACTTGCCATGGGGAATTATTCGAGGGAGGGGAATTAATCGAGAAAATGCGTTACTTTTAAAAATATAATTTTAATTTTATTTAAAAGGTATATGCAAAATAAGAGCAAACTTTATCGGCTTTTATTAATAGGTGTCGCCGAAGCGACGTTTGCCATAATTGAATAAATATTTTTGATTAATTTATTGGTGATCTTTTGCACCGTCTAATTATTTAATCGTTTGTACCAGTTGCCCATATCTCTTTTGTTAGCCACACCCTTTTGTGCTAACCCCATTTCTGATCATTTCTCCTATGCTTATTCAATCATTTAATTTATTTTTAAGTTTTATAGCTATTTTTAGCTCTATTTACTCTCTGTGTTTTTTCTCCTTAGTTTACTTTTACATTTTTACCCCACCTGCGCCTTAGTTAATTTTTCCGACTTAGGTTTTGGCCTTTAATCTATTTTTATTTTCTTTAACTAATTAGGCCAAACTTAAGTCTTTTTTCACTCATTATTTTTATGGTTGAATTACCCAAGTTTAAGTTTGAGGTCCGGAATAAATATTTAATTTGTTTATTCTCTTTTGCTTGGTATTCCTTTAATTCGCCGTCCTAAGGCGTGTCTGATCCCGCTCGTCCACTAAAGAGCGTGTGATCCCTTCCGCTCGTCCATTTAAGAGCCGCAATCCAAGAAGCTCGTCAATCTACAGAGCTTTGGTTCCATCCTTTCGCCCACTAGAGAGGATCAATTTTCGAAGATTGAGGGCTTCCCGGGATATTCCAGCTCAGCTACCTCCCGACTAGCTCAGCTCCTCTTCATTTTAATTCAGTCTAATTCAACTCCCGACAGCTGTGCGGTTCATACCTGTCGCGCCGCAACCCCATTTTTGTTTTCTTCAGCGACAAACTTTTTGGTGCCACGACCCGGGACCCCGTCTTCTCTTCATTTTCTTCATTCATTTTTTAATTAAATTAAATTTTTTTTCTTCTGTTTTTCAACCGACAGGCAACTTCCAGCCAACTCAACACTACTTCTTCTGTCGACACTTCAATTCGACTCATCAGTTCTACACTCACCAGATCGCCCAATTAGATCTTCAACTACAGAACTTCTCAACCATCACAACTCTACAGTCTACACTACTCATCTATCTACCGTCACAACTCAACAAATCTACATAATTTCATTCAACATGTCGTCGGGACCAATCCGCCAAATGATCGTCCCAGCCATCAGACAACTCAAAACCAACATCAACGAAGCTACCAACATCATCACCGCCCAACAAGAGGTGTTAGAAGAACAGCAACTCCAACTACTACACAAACTTCGCAAGCAGTTGGCCAGTAATACCGTAAGAATAGAAAATTTAAATCGGGAATGGATGGAATTTATGGGCAAAATCGACCCAGAAAACCTACCGGCGGAGGAAAGGATTTACCAAAACTTTCAACGCCCGGCTCCAGATGACCCCCTCCTAGCGGGCTACAAGCATTTTACCGAATGTTTCGCGGACGCCCTGGCCATCATCGACACAATCGATGAAATAGTCGAGCGGGATGGCACTTCCGGCAATCTCCAGTCCAGGACTAGATCACGGAGCGCCTCCATTCAATCCCGACATTCGCGTCATTCCCAGCGAACCGGCCAACAGGATTTACCGCGAAATCCAGCATATGACTCTTTTAAAATCGCTCCCATGGAAATACCGAAATTTTCTGGGGAACCCGAAAAATGGACCAGTTTTTGGCAATGCTTCGAGTTGGCCATCCATAACAACCCTAACATACCAGACGCGCTCAAAATCCACCATTTATGTAACTCACTCATGGGATCAGCGGAATCAACCATCCAAGGATACCCGAGAATTGCCGAAAATTACCCTATTATAGTGGAATGCTTAAAGGGAAGATACGGTAGCACCCGAAATCTTAGAGAGGCTCTCCAATCAGAGCTCCTTCTCTTACCACCAACAAAGGACACCGCTGACTCACTTCGCACATTTTGCGACACTATAGAAAGAATTTGCAGACAATTAGAATGCAATTTCAGCACAAAAGAGGATGCGTCCCTACTAGTTACCACAATTAAGGCCAAGCTGCCGTCCACACTTATTGAAAAAATAATAGAAAGGGAACGAAGTTCACAAGCCGGGGAATGGACACATAAGGAACTTAGGAATTTCCTATTAGAGCAAGTGGCCATAAGGGAAGAAGTGGAAATGTGCACTAAGAGATTGAAAGTCCCGTCCAGTCAAAGGGAAGAC